CTCCAAGGCGAGTGAGACCTCGTCCCTCCCCTCCCAGCCACCCAGCCAATGGCAGCCCAGTTTCGCTGAGGGAGCCAGTCATCGCAGCCAGCATCTTCTGAGTGGCAATTCTTCCGGCCATACACTAACGGGGCGCATTTTAGAACTTTGGCACCCACTACTCAATTATAATAAGGGAGAGACTAGCAAATTGTCGCAGGCTTTCACGGCCGGAGTTCATTAGTTGCTGTAGATTTTCCGGGTTGTGTGGCTGTGGTCTTGGCATTGTAGGCCCTGACGTTTTGCCAATAGCTGTGACTGGCATCCTCAGAGGCAGGGCTATGTTTGGGCAGGAACGCACAGTAACGGAGTTCCGGCTGGCTCCCAAGTTGGCCACGCCCAGCAGGAACTCATTAGCATAACAGGCCACACCCAACAGCAGAAACACATTAGGATTGGCTACATTAGGGGTGTGTGGCCTAACATGCAAAGGAGTTCCTGCTACAAAAAAAGCCCTGGGTTTTGACAACAAACAAGGTAAACAGAATAAGAAGCCAAAGGTGGATGTGGCTGGATGAGCACACTTCTGGTAACATGGGGGTGCGGCCTAATGTGCTAATGAGCTGTGCTGTCAGGGGTGTGGCCCAATATGCTAATAAGTTCCTGCTGTTGGGCGTGGCCTATTATGCTAATGAGTTCCTGCTGGGCTTTTTCTACAAAAAGAGCCCTGCAGTCAGAGGTATAACACAGAAAGATGGAGTACTCTCTGTGTCAAGGTGAGAAGAAAAATGGTAGGCAGGTAATTTATATCTACTCCAGAAGGTGGGGTAGGGCTGAGTCATTATCTTGTAGGAGTTCCCCTGGGGAGAGTACTCCATCTTTCTGTGTTATACCTCTGAGGATGCCAGTCACAGCTATTGGCGAAATATCAGGTTCTACAATGCCAATGCCAAGACCATGGCCACACAACCTGGAAAATCTACAGCAACTGCCCAGCAAATTACTGATGAAACTAGCCAAAAACAACAATCAGATTCAGATCTCCATAAGGCAGAATCTACAGTATCTTTGACATTGTATGATTTACTGGACTGGACTGCCCTCCGCCGTAAGATAAAATCTAAATTACTTTCTTGTATATTATTACAAGAGGAGCTGCGGTGGCTCAAGTGGTTAAGACGCTGAACTGTAGGCTGTGGAAGGTCAGTAGTTCAGCAGTTCAAGACCCAGGTGCCGCATGACATAGTGAGCTCCCGTCTCTAGTTCCAGCTCCTGCCAACCTAGCAGTTCGAAAGCAAGAAATTGCAAGTAGATAAATAGGTACCACTTCGGTGGGAAGGGAACAGCGTTCCATGTGACTTGGTGTTTAGTCATGCCGGCCACATGACCACGGAAACGTCTTCGGACAGCGCTGGCTCTTCGGCTTTGAAATGGAGATGAGCACCGCAACCCTAGAGTCGGATTCGACTGGCTTTCAAGCAAGGGAACCTTGACCTTTACCTATATTATTACAATAAGAAATGTCTTCTGGTGGTAATGAGCTGCATATATGATCATCAAAACCCTGAGTGTAAATACTTTAGATCTCTGTACCACATAGACCTCCACCGTCTTGGACACACTATTTTAAAAGTAGTGCCGGGGGAATGCCAGCAGTTGGCAAGCGGCTCTTCCTCTATGCGCACATAAGGCAGTAAACTGTCCCTGTGGTGACTGGGCACCAGGCAGTGGGAGACATAGAGGCCAGGCCTCAGAACTTGGAAGGTAAGCTGGGAGTCCTGACCCTCCCCACGGGCAATTCCTACAAAGGGCAGGTGGTGGGGCACGTTACCGGAGAGAGAGAGAGTAAAGCCTCTCCAAGTGCTGGAAAAACCTTGGAGGGCAGGGCTGAATACGGCCTGCAGGCCAAACCAGGCCCGTTCCGCCACACCAATGAAGTTTTATTCAAGGCGTAAGCTTTCATTTGCACGTACACTTCTTCAGATACATTGAAATGGAAGTCGCCAGTCCATAAATATACATAGAGAGTGAGCTGCTTCAGAAAGTAACATTTATCTATGTCTACCCAAACTGCAGCTGGCAAAGGACTATGGAAACATTTATACTCTATCTACAATATCTGTGCCTCTGGTGATACTGTCTGGATTTCAAGCCATAAAAGAAGGGCTAATTGAGCACTCAGAAGTATTCTCTGGGAGACCGGTCACCCCGTTCTATAAAGCTGTAGCACACGAAAAGGGTAAGTTCCCATTAAAAACATTTTGTTTGTATTCCAGAGAAGAAATAAAGGAACGTTAAAGAAAAGTTTTTTTGTTTTTGTTTTTGTTTTGTTTTTTAAAAGGAAAGCCATGAACGTTTCAGCCACTTGGAGATTTCTCTATGTAGTAGATAGTATCCCATCACTCAATATGTGGAAGGTATAGTTCTAGTGCATTCCTCGGCATCGGTGTAGGGGGGGGGTGTTACCTGCGTGCGGGATCAGCTTGGAGGTCACATGACCTGTGTAGGGCGAAACCACATGGGTTGGGGAGGGCTCAAGTGAGGAGATACAAGAGGCTGAAAGCCATCCTCCTTTCTGTTCCATATGCGCAGCTCTGCTGAGGGGAGAGGAACATTTCACATCAGAAGAGCCCTGCTGGACCAGACCAGTGGTCCACCTAGTCCAACATCCTGTCTCAAACAACAGCCAGCCAATTCCTCTGGAGGGCCAACAATAGGGCACAGAGGCCGAGGACTTCCCCTGATGTAGCCTAGACGTACTGGGATTCAGACGTTTAGTGCCTCTGAACATGGAGGTTCCCTTTAGTCACTATGGTTAGGAGCTACTGATAGACCTGTCCTTCATGAATCTAATTTCCTTTTAAAGCTGTCCAGTTCCTGTGGCCATGACTACATCCTCTGGCAACGAATTCCACATTTTAATTACTTGCTGTGTAAAGAAGTATTTCCCTTTTGTCCATCCCGAAGCTACTACCCATCAGCTGCATTGGATACCCTTGAGCTCTAGTGTTTGAGGAGAGGAAGAAAAATTTCTCTTTGTTAACTCTCTCCATCCCATACATAAGTTTATAAGCCTCTATTGTTGTCCCCCCTTAGTCAACTCTTTTGTAAACCAAAAAGTTCCAGACTCGTCAGGCTTTCTTCATAGGGAATGTGCTCCAACCCCCAAATCATCTTGGTTGCACTCCTGCGTACTTTCTCCAGCTCTGCAGTGTCCTTTTTGGGATACGGTGATCAGAACTGTACACAGTATTCCAAATGAGGCCGCAGCACAGATCTATATGGATGCATTATAATATTGGCCATTTTATTTCCAATCCCTTTCCGAATAATCCCTAACATAGAGTTTCCCTGGGTCCACTGGGTCCACGCTTCCACTGAACCAGCAACCACGATCCCAGGCTCTTCTTCACGCTCAGTCTCAGCAAGTTGAGGCCCTATTGGCTTATACTTGGCAGTTGGGGTTGTCCCAATGTGCATTGCCTTGCACAGACCAAGATTGAGCTTCATTTGCCACATCGTTGCCCAATCAGCCTGGAGCTCTTCACAGTCAGCCTTGGTTTTCACCATCCTGAATAATTTCATCTCATCTGCCAACTTGGCCACTACACTACTTACCCCTGGTTCCAGGTCATTCATGAACCCCCTTGTCCCTCTTCGCTCCAGCCTGTGGACCCTCACAGCTGTTAAATATTGGAACTAGGGCATCCTGAAGTTAATCAATGGCTACTAGCCAAGACAGAGCTGCGGTGGCTCAAGTGGTTAAGACGCTGAACTGCAGCCTGTGGAAGGTCGGTAGTTCAGCAGTTCGAGACCCGAGGTGCCATGTGACGGAGTGAGCTCCCGTCTCTAGTTCCAGCTCCTGCCAACCTAGCAGTTCGAAAGCAAGACATTGCAAGTAGATAAATAGGTACCACTTCGGTGGGAAGGGAACAGCGTTCCGTGCACCTCGGCGTCTAGTCATGCTGGCCACATGACCACGGAAACGTCTTCGGACAGCGCTGGCTCTTCGGCTTTGAAACGGAGATGAGCACCGCAACCCTAGAATCAGACTTGACTGGCTTTCGAGCAAGGGAACCTTTACCTTTACCTTACTAGCCAAGGTGACTGAAGGGGGCCGATATCTTCAAAGGCAGCAAGCCTCTGAATCCCAGTGCCAGGAGACAGCAGCAGGGGAGGGACTTGAACTCTATGCCTTGTTTGTGTGACCCCCTCCAGGCCACTGTGTGAACCAGTATGCGGGGCTGATCTAGCAGGGCTTTTCTTATGTTCCTCTGTGTGGATCCTGAAACAATCTGTGAGACAGATTTATAGGGATCAAAGAGAGCTGCAGCGATGGATTGGAGTGTCGGGAAAACTGTGTGCCCTCTGCACAGGAATGGTATCATTCTGCCCACTGAGCTTTTGAATTTGAATTTTAAAAAAGAGACTTTAGACCAGGGGTGTCAAACATGTGGCCCAGGAGGCCAGATCAGGCCTCTGGAGGGCTTCTATCAGGCCCGTAGTGGAACTGGCTGTCTTCTGCTTCTTCTTCCAGTTCTGCTGCTGCTGCGTCATTGTAGGTTTGCAGCTTACAGATACACACACGAACAGCATACTCAGGATTGCAACAGAACAGACATTTTGATGCAGTAATTCAGAGCAAGAGATGTCAGTGATCGGACACTGTTAAATAAACAAAACATTGCAAGAGTGCTAATGCTTTAAGCATGTTTTTATTTTAAGTTAAAAAAAAACCCTTTGTGTTTGTGTCCTTTATAAAGTTTATATCACCGCTACCTGCCATTACATTTTATGACACACATGGCTCGGCCTGACAAGGTTTCATTTATGTCAGATCCGGCCCTCATTACAAATGAGTGACACCCCTGCTTTAGACTTTTGTGATGCAGGGAAGGTCTATGGTCTTGAGAAGCACTTAAAGGAAAGAAAGTTGCTCCGGACCTGAAAGGCAGAAAGAGCTGTTCTGTGAATGCATGTGAAACTCCTGTTTAGATCACTGATCTCTCAAGGTCAATAGTGTATACTCTGACAGGCAGCAGCTGTCCAGGATTTCAAATAGCCATCTTTCACATCAGTTAAGAGATGCCAGGGTTAGAAAGAGGGTGTGCAGAAACCCCCCAACATGGTTTCTGCCAGCCTCCTCTTCTGCACACCCTCTTTCTATCCCTGGCATCATCAGCTGAAATGCACCAGGTAGTAGGGGAATAAATGAAGGAGAAGCAAGAACAGTAGAGAATTGTGTTTAACCCCTGTTGATTTATGTCCTGTTGGTTCATAGTGTGTGCTTACTCCTACACTGTGTGTGTGCTCCATAACTGTGTAAATAGTTAAATACATTCTTTAATTTGGGCTAATAATCTATGTTGTGCTCTGACCACATAGTCTCCCCCACTCTGCACAATACCAAAGGGAGGGGTAGTCCAGGGAAGTAACTTTCCAGGGATCCCTCAAAGATTGGGGATTCCATCTCGAAATAGGGAGATTAAGCCAGAGGGGTCTCACTGTCCCTCTAAAAAGGCAGTGACAATTCCGTGAGTGGTGACAGTGAATTTAAGGAGTGAGATATGCCCATGGAATGAGGGTGGAAGGCAAACAGCTGAGTTGTAAACTGGAGCCCATTTCACCATGGTAGGCAACCAAGCTTGGTTCAGACAAAGGAAGGAAACCCTTTGTAGGCTTTTGTGAGGAACTCATTGGGGCCAGTCCTGACTAGGGTTGCCAGCTCCAGGTAGGGAGATTCCTGGAGATTTTCTGGTAGAGTCTATGGAAGCCAGGGTTTGGGCAGGGGAGAGGCCTCAGCTGAACAGAATGCCATACAGCTCACCTTCCAAAGCAGTTATTTTCTCCGGGGGGGAGAGATCTGTTGTTTGGAGTTCAGTTGTGATACCTGGTGATCCTCAGGTTCCACCTGGAGGTTGGCTGCCCTAGGCGTAGCAGTCAGTGCTTCAGAGCAGGGTCTGCTAGATCCAGGTTCTTGCTGTAGAAGCTGAGTGGGTGATTTTGGACCAGTCACAGACTTTCAGCCTAACCTACCTCATAGGGTTGTTGTGCAAGTCAAAAAGGGGAGAGGAGAATGGTGTAAGCTGCTTTGGTCCCCATTGCAGAGAAAGGGGAAATAAAGGTAGGTTGATGATTGACTGGGAAGGAGATAGGGTTGCCAACTCCAGGTGGGAAATTCTTGGAGATTTGAGGGATGGAACCTGGAGAGGTTTGAGGAGGGGTGGGACCTCAGACAGGTATGATGCCATAGACTCCACCCTCCAAACCAGCCATTTCCTTCTGGGTAACAATTGTTGCCAATCTCCAGGTGAGGGGTGGAGATCATGAAAATTACAACTGCTCTTCAGGTAGCAGAGATCAGTTCCTCTGGAGAAAATGGTGGACTCTGTGTCATTATAACCTGCTGAGGTCACCACAGCACATTGATGCTGAGTGCCCAAGGCCTTGGCACTCTCCCAGAGCCTCTTTCTAGAGCTCATTGTATTTATTTCCACAACGGGCCTTATTCCTAGTGAGTACATAATGTACACACAAGTGACGTTGTATGGCCAGAAGACTGGCTCTCAGCTGAAAGTTGAGACAGAACCCTAATACTACCTCTTGACTGAGGGTCGGGGTTCTGCCCCCTCGCCTGCAACCTCTTGCTGTACCCCAGGAATGAAGTGAGAAGTGTCCTATTCCCCTGGGAGGAAGGGTCACAAGAGCTGGTGTTCTAACACCTCTCCCAGGGCTTTCTAAAGCTGGATGTACACAAACTGCCACCTCTCAGCTGTTTTCTCAGCTGACAAATAGCATTCTGAGATTTCCCACCCTACATTCCTCCCAATGTTCATGTCCCAGATACTGAAACACATGCCACAGCCCCGTGTATCAGACAGAGAATGAGTCTTCATCAGAATCACAATTCTTACACAACTGGTAGCTCTGGAACGCTTAGACATGAAAGACATGAGAGTTCACAGTTTCTAGGCTGACAACTTAAATCATTGTTAACGTGAATTTCTACAAGGTATGACGTCTCATTGGTTTTTGATGGCCTCAGGTATCGTATTCTCAAATGGTCACACCTGGAAGCAGCAGAGGAAGTTTGGAATATCTATCATGCGGAAGCTGGGCATGGGAAAGAAAGGTGTGCAGAGCCAAATAGAAGATGAGGCCCACGAACTTGTGGAGACTTTTGCACGTGCAAAGGGTATGTTTTACTGGGGCTGGGGTGTCGTGTCCTGCTCTGCAGAAATCTTTTGTGAAAATTGTCTTCAGATACATTACTTCTTGGGTGTGTAAATTAGCTTAGTGCTGCCTTTTCAGGGTGCTTCAAACTGTTTGAATATAAGAACATAAGAGAAGCCATGTTGGATCAGGCAAGTGTCCCATCCAAAATGACACTCTGTGTCACGCAGTGGCCAAAACCCAGGTGTCATCAGGAGATCCACCAGCAGAGCCAGAACTCCAGCAGCCCTCCCACTGTTGCCCCCCCAGCACCAAGTTTTTAAGTTAGTTTTTTAAGGTATCTCAGGTCAGTTTCTTTTTGCTGCACTATGGCAACAGTTCTGGAATTCTTCTTTGGAGGTTTTCCATGTTCAGACACCCAGACTATTCAGTACGGCCTGACTCCCTCAAGCCACAAAAGGGCTTGTCTGGTTCTTGCATGGATGGCTGTGCATCCAAAGGACAAACTGCGGTCTGCCAAGGTAGCTCTGCTAGCACCATCCGAAAGCAGGACCATGGGACAACGCTCGCCAAATACACACACAAATATATCAAGATGGGTAGCCATGTTAGTCTGTCTGTAGCAGTAGAAAAGAGCAAGAGTCCAGGAGCACCTTAAAGACTAACACAATTTGAGGCAGGGTAGGAACGTGCGTGAGTCACTGCTCACTTCTGAAGAAGGGAGCAGTGACACACAAAAGTTCATACCCTGCCACGAATTGTATTAGTCTATAAGGTGCTACTGGACTCTTGTTTTTTTTTCTATACGTGAATATGTTAGCACTTCTTCCTTGAAGTTCCCTGTGACAGAAAAGCCCTTCCTTGATGCACTTTTGACACCATAAGGCTCCAATGCTAAGAACACTTTCCTGGGAGTACACCTCATTAAATAAAATGGGCTGTACTTCAATGTAGACCTAATAAGGATTGCTCCTTAAGTAACCTGTAAATCCAGTCTGCATCGATGGGCAAACTGGCCAGCAGCAAATCTGACACCCAGCAGAGCATGTTTACAAAAAAAAAAAAAAATGCCGGGAACTTTGGACTTCAAAGTAATTACTTACTATTCCTTTAATCTGGATATAATTTGCTTGACGCTTTTGTCAAACATAAATGATGATCCTTCAAAAGCATTCACACTCTCTTTGTCTTAAAGGTAAACCATGAATGACTTTTTAATACTGTAAGGAATCTAAATTGGATGTTGTTGTTGCTGTTGTTCAGTCGCACAGTCGAGTCCGACTCTTCGCGACCCCATGGACCATGTCACGCCAGGCCCTCCTGTCTTCCGTCATCCTCCGGAGTTTGCTTAATTTTATGTTCATTGCATCGATAACATTGTCTAACCTTTTCATCCTTTGCCGTCCCCGTCTTCTTTGACCTTCAATCTTTCTCAGCATCAGGGTCTTCTCCAGGGAGTGCTCCCTTCTTATTTGGTGGCCAAAGTATTTGAGCTTCAGCTTCAGTCTCTGGCCTTCCAGGGAACAGTTAGGGTTAATTACTCTTAGGATTGACTGACTTGATCTCCTCGCAGTCCAAGAGACTCTCAAGAGTCTTCTCCAGCACCATAATTCAAAAGAATCTATTCTTCGGCGCTCAGCCTTCCTTATGGTCCAACTCTCGCAGCCATACATTACTACTGGGAATACTATGGCTTTGACCATATGGACTTTTGTTGGCAGGGTGATGACTCTACTTATTATACTGTCTAGGTTTGCCATCGCTTTCCTCCCAAGAAGCAGGCGCCTTTTATTTCATGGCTGCAGTCACTGTCTGCAGTGATCTTGGATCCCAGGAACGTGAAGTCTGTCACTGCTACCACGACATCCCGTTCTACTTGCCAAGGAGTGTTCTGGATAGGGTTTTTGTTGTTGTTCAGTCGCACAGTAGAGTCCGACTCTCCGTGACCCCGTGGACCAGATCACGCCAGGCCTTCCTATCTTCCGCCGTCCTCTGAAGTTCGCTCAATTTCATGTTCGTTGCATCTATGACACTGTCTAACCATCTCATCCTTTGCCGTCCCCGTCTTCTTTGACCTTCAATCTTTCCCAGCATCAGGGTCTTCTCCAGTGAGTGCTCCCTTCTCATTTGGTGGCCAAAGTATTTGAGCTTCAGTTTCATTATCTGGCCTTCCAGGGAACAGTCAGGGTTGATTTCTTTTAGGATTGACTGATTTGATCTTCTTGCAGTCCAAGGGGCTCTCAAGAGTCTTCTCCAGCACCACAGTTCAAAAGAATCTATTCTTCAGCGTTCGGCCTTCCTTATAGTCCAACTCTCGCAGGCATACATGACTACTGGGAATACCATTGCTTTGACCATGCAGACTTCTGTTGGCAGGGTGATGTCTCTACTTTTTATCATGCTGTTTAGGTTCGCCATCGCTTTCCTCCCAAGGAGCAGACGTCTTTTAATTTCATGGCTGCTGTCACAGTCTGCGGTGATCTGGGATCCCAGGAACGTGAAGTCTGTCACTACTTCCACGACTTCCCTTTCTATTTGCCAAGTAGTGATGGGGTCCAGATGCCATGATCTTAGTTTTTTTGATGTTGAGTTTCAAGCCAACATTTGTGCTCTCCTCTTTTACCCTGAGCAAGAGGCTCTTTAGGTCCTCTTCCCTTTCTGCCATTAGAGTGATACCATCTGAATATCTGAGGTTGTTGATGTTCTTCCCAACAATCTTAATTTCGGCTTGTGATTCATCCAGGCCGGCATGTACTCTGCATATAAATTAAATAAGCAAGGTGACAACATACATCCCTGTTGTACTCCTTTTCCGATGCTAAACCAATCAGTTGTTCCATATCGAGTTCTAACTGTCACTTCTTGACCCTTATACCGGTTTCTCAAGAGACATGTGAGGTGGTCTGGTACTCCCATCTCTTTAAGGACTTGCCGTAGTTTGTTGTGATCCACACAATCAAAGCCTTTAGTCAATGAAGCAGAAGTAGATGTTTTTCTGGTACACTCTTGCTTTCTCCATAATCCAGCGAATGTTGGAAATTTGGTCTCTAGTTCCTCTACCTCTTCAAAACCCATCTTGTACTTCTGGCAGTTCTCTATCCACATACTGCCGAAGCCTAGCTTGTAGGATCTTGAGCATGACCTTGCTCGGTGTGAAATGAGTGCAATTGTGCGATAGTTTGAACATTCCTTGGCATTGCCCTTCTTTGGGATTGGAGTGTAAACTGACCTTTTCCAATCCTGTGGCCATTGTTGCGTTTTCCAAATTTGCTGGCAAATTGAGTGCAGCACTTTAACAGCATCATCTTTTAAGACTTTGAATAGCTCGGGATATCATCACCTCTACTAGCTTCGTTGCTGGTAATGCTTTCTAAGGTCTATTTGACTTCTCATTCCAGGATGTCTGGCTCAAGGTCAGTGTTTACACCGTCGTGGTTGTCAAGGACATTGAGGTCCTTCTTGTATAGTTCTTCTGTGTATTCTTGCCATCTTTTCCTAATCTCTTCTGCTTCTGTTAGGTCCCTACCATTTTTGTCCTTTATCATGGCCAGCTTTTCATGGAATGTTCCCTTGATTTCTCCAGTTTTCTTGAAGAGATCTCTACTTCCCATTCTATTGTTTTCCTCTATTACTTTGCATTGTTCATTCAGGAAAGCCTCCTTATCTCTCCTTGATATTCTCTGGAAAACTGCATTCAGTTGGGTAAATCTTTCCTTTTCACCTTTGCCTTTCGCTTTCCTTCTTTCCTCTTCTATTTGTAAAGCCTCATCAGACAGCCGCTTTGCTTTCTTGCATTTCTTTTTCTTTGGGATGGTGGTGATTGCTGCCTCCTGTACAATGTCACGAACCTCTGTCCATAGTTCTTCAGGCACTCTGTCTATCAAATCTAGTCCTGTAAACCTATTCTTCACCTCCACTGTATATTCATCAGGGATGTGATCTAGGTCAAACCTGAATGACCTAGTGGTTTTCCCAACTTTCTTCAATTTAATTCTGAATTTTGCAATGAGTAGCTCATGATCTGAGCCACAGTCAGCTCCAAGTCTTGTTTTTACTGACTGTATAGAGCTTCTCCATCTTTGACTGCAAATGGTATAATCAATCTGATTTCAGTGTTGCCCATCTGGTAATGTCCATGTGTAGAGTCGCCTCTTAGGGTGCTGGAAGAGGGTTTCGCTATGACCAGCGTGTTCTCTTGACAAAATTCTGTTAGCCTTTGTCCTACTTCATTTTGTTCTCCAAGGCCAAACTTGTCCGTTATTCCTGTTACCTTTTGACTTCCTACTTAAGCATTCCAGTCCCCTATGATGAGGAGGACACCTTTTTTTGATGTTAGTTCTATGAGGTGTTGTAAGTGTTGTAGAACCAGTCTACTTCAGCCTCTTCTGTGTCAGTGGTTGGGGCATAGACTTGGATGACTGTGATGTTGAATAGTTTGCCTTGGATTCAGACTGAGATCATTCTGTCGTTTTGGAGACTGTATCCCATTACTGCCTTTCGCACTCTCTTGTTGACTATAAAGGCCACACCATTTTTCCTGCAGGATTCTTGGCCACAGTAGTAGATATAATGGTCTTCTGAGTTAAATTTGCCCATTCCTGTCCACTTTAGTTCACCGATTCCTAAGATGTCAATGTTCAGTCTTGCCATCTCATTTTTGACCACGTAAAGCTTACCTTGATTCATAGATCTTACATTCCAGGTTCCTATGCAGTATTGTTCTTTGCAGCATCAGACTTTCCTTTCACCATCAGACACATCCACAACTAAGCGTCCTTTCGGCTTTGGCCCAGCCGCTTCACTCTTTCTGGGGTTGTTACTTGTACTTGTACTTGCCCTCTGTTCTTTCCCAGTAGCATACTGGACATCTTCTGACCTGAGGGGCTCATCTTCCAGCGTCATATCTTTTAGCCTTTTAGCCTTTTGTTTGGTGTAGTGTTTACGTGTGCGGACTCTAATCTGGGAGAACCCGGTTTGATTCCCCACTCCTCCACTTGCACCTGCTGATGTGACCTTGGGTCA